GGATTTGATGCTCTAACTTACCCATCCCCGCAGATAGTTCAGCAGGTACCTCTCGAGATCAACGGGTGCCTAACTGCCATGGTAGGTTGAGGTGACTCAGCGCATGAGTCTCGTGAGGCGGTGTGAGTCGCTGCCTTGCAGGCTGATCCGCAGCTAAGGTGTGTATACGTGCGCAGACTGTCCTGAGCCTTCTGAAGTTGACACTGGTGCTTTCTTTACTTCTAGTTGGGACAACACCTTGTCAGGATGCTGTGTACGCCGGAACCGTCTAGACGCCGCGGACGTCCCGTTTAAAGTTCGGATTTGCGCATGAAACGGGAAAACTGGTGATGACAGATATGCAGCTCCCATTGGTGGCATGTTTGTCTATCGTCGCTGTGGCGCCGCGGCCTTCGCCTAAGAATCTTTTGTGTATGAAGCTCAAGCGCAAGCCTGAGGAGCCCAGTTCCCTTCAAGCCTCAGTACTCCCAACGCTCGGTGCTCTGTACCAGACCATCGACAACATGTCATCTGACACAAGTGCAGAGCTGATATCGGAGCTGTACGAAGCGTGAGTTACTTCACTCTGCTCGTAGGGAAGCCTAGCCGACAGCTATCTTAGATTTTTTTGGTAAATGCATTGGCAACGCCATGGGAGGTGAGCCACGCACACACATCCTGGCAAACCCTGACCGTTGATGTACTCCTCCCGTTAAGCACTCTCCATATACGAGTTCATTATCAACTTCGACTTGGAGATCATCACCGCATAGCAGAGGAAGAAGACGGCGACGTCTGTACTGCTGATGAGCATCCGCTGGATCATGCTCGCGAACGGTGTGCTGTTGTTTGCACCGTATAAGTCCTACAGAGTGAGTACATTGCCATGATCAACGTTGTCTTACATGGCATTCAGTAAGCCACTAGGGGTGGGATGTCTCTAGCTTTGACACTGATCGATTAACTGATGTGACGCTACAGATGCATAGCAGGTGCAGTCTTAGAGGCCGGACTCGCTATCATCAGCTACGCGCAAAGCGCCTGTAAGTTCCTGTCAAAAAAATCGTCAGGTGTGCTGAGTAAAACTTGTCTTTAGTGTTCACGGCCTACGAGTCTATGCTCTAGGGGGCCCAAACTACGCGTTATCTGCACTTGTTCTCATCCTGAGTTTGATGCCCATTGGGACAAACTTGGTCAGCTCGTGCCATAAACCTACGATGCCACATCTGCTCACTCGAATTCTCCTAGTACGCAATGGCTCATTATGCCTATTATTCTGACAGCGGATCGTGTGGCTTAAATATCATTGGCATGCCGGATTCAGTGCATACAAAGCGCGCATGCTCTGTTTATAAAACACAGTCGCATGGCTGACGTGCCCCGGTCAGACGTACGTTTGCTGGGGTCAATGAAATTTAGAGCTCTACTGACAGGTTCTGGCAGTGGTACTGCTCACGAGATGCTTCTTAGTCGCTGCCGATGCCATCGTCCTGGCTGTAACATGGACGAAGACTTTCCAGCAGTGGCGGAGTGCTCGCCGTTTGAACATGCGCTTGCCAGTCACGCTTTGCCTCCTCCGAGATGGTAAGGTCTTCTTCGTTTCAATAGACCCACTGCTCATTCATTCGTGAAAAGGCACGATCTTTTTCCTGTGCGTGACCATGACATCAGCTCCTTCAGCGTGTTCTGACCAGACTGCAGCATCCTGCTCGCCATAAGCATCGCCAACCTACTTTCTCTTTTCCCGGCACGCAGTATCTATCTTAGGCTTTGAACTACTACTGACCTCTTGTAGTCCTACGCTCTACCCTTCACAGGTCTCATTGAATTCCTCGTGCGTGGACCCGTTTCAGCATGCTTCCGCTGAACACCTGCTGACAGAACTCCTATGTAGCCGCCTATCCTCGTCTCCCGTTTCCTCCTCAACCTGCGCGACTGCACCGGGTCAAACACCACAGACCGCAGCCTCCCGCGGCTCTCGGAGCTCAGCGTTCACTTCGCGACGTCGAATGTGTCAAACATCATCGGTAATATCGGCGCGCCGCTGGACTACGCGCAGGCGGAGAGGCTTATCCGCGCTGAGTACGAGCGTCCTGGAGACAAAAGCGGCGTCCCCTTCTCTGATACTGCCGCGTCGACTGCCATTGGCATGTGACTGTGTGCCCGCCGAGGACTCGACGTGTCGGAAAATTCTAGACCCCCTCTCATTGACGCCTTGACTTGCCTTGAAAGGCATTTCAAGGGGAATTTTATTTTTCCGACACGGGAGGACGCACAGAGGTTGCGAGCACAGCGGAGCGGCAACGTGGCAGGTCCCACGAGGTTGTTGACGGAGGGGCAGGCTCGCGGAGTTCCTCACTGATGCGCCTCGGAGTCAACGACGTCTCTATCTTATACTAGATTGGAAAGCGAGAGCAGTGTGTGGGCGGGCGTTGATGACCGAGCTCGCCATGGTTTGCTGGCTTGGCGCCGTTGACCTTTCTAGGAAGTTTTTTAAAAATAGTACTACTACTCTCGGGCATTGTCCTTGAGTTGACGGACAACCAGGACTCTGCTTCATACCTATGCAGTATAACCCACCACTACTTCTGCCTCGGCGGATCTGTGGGCTAAGGTATAGGCCACACAGCCTCCGAATTGTCTGACACCTCATGGCGAGAGCGACGGAGATCAGTAGGATATCTCAGATGCCG